ATATGCAATGAAGAGGTGTTGTGTCCGGTTCTCTGACGTGACATTGATTTTGAAGTGTATTTTGTTATCTGTAAGGTGCTGAATAAGGGCGTCATTTGGAGAGAGTCCATGTCTTTGCTCTCTTTTAAAAGAGGCATTCAGGTTATATATGTCGTACGGTTGAAGTGGGGTAGTAGTTATCTGGCGAAGGTATGTAATTGCTTGGCTTGGCTTAATCCCTAAATATATATTAGACTTAAATTATTTCAAGTTACTTTCTATCTTACCTGCATTGTGTAAAGATCTAGCCTGATTTATCTCTGCTTGTGCTAGCTTCCGGTGTGCTGGATGAGAGCTAACTGATTGACTTGGAAGGTGGTTATGTAGACTATACTCTACGCCAGGCCTATAGCGTAACTCCCATTGAGAATTTATACATTCAAGCGCTACTATTGAGAACTGGCAGCCAGTTTTTCGAGTAGTTGTCTGTCGCTTACGTGCTTGTAAATGCTGTTGCGGATGTTTTTCGGATGGTGGTAGGCCGTAACGGTCGCAATTATACGTGATCTTCGTCCTAGGACCGCCATGGATCTTTGTTGACCGTCCAATACGAAAAGCATAGCAATGATGTGCTGCCCAGGCTTGAATTGAAGTATATAGCTCTTCTTTAGAGCTATATATAGCCTCTGGAGGCAGTGGCATAGACGTATGAGGGGTGGCATCTGCTGACGCTGGCTCAAGTGGTTGCTCAGGTGAATGTAAGGGCAGTGGCGACAGCGAGAGTTGAACGTCCATTTTCGCTATGTAGCTATGTCAGGCGTGCATTGATTACAGTCCAAAGTACAGTGCTGGTAGATGTAAATGCGACGCGCGCGCATTTCGGTGGTGGGGGGGCGTGAAAACCCGCGCTTAGTCAGCTCTAAACTGACGCCGGGGCGTCAGTGTATTGGGACCCGGAAGGGTAAGGCTAGGTTAGATAAGCAGATGGGGGTTTGGATTCGAGGAATTTGGGGGTATATGATACGATAAATGGGTGGGCGTACCCAGAGGTTCAGGATTTGAGATTTGGTATAGATAGGACGACGAGGTTGAGATAAATAGATATTCCTAACAAACAAACCTCCCTCATCACCAGATCCCTTCCGAGGTCCCTTAGAGATCAGGATAAGATGTTCCACAAAGCATGAGGAGTTAAGGAAATGTGATATACAGATTTGATATGGGAAGGGGATGGTTTATCGACGGGGGGGGGATTGGTTTGTGAGTTGCGAGGAGATTTACTGGAGATGTTGGGATGGGATAGGATGGTTAGGGGTAATAATGTCTAGGGTAAGGACTAAATGGCTTGGTTTAGTTTGGTTTGGTTTGGTTTAGTATTCTTGGGATTAAATGTAATGTCTAACCTACATATGACCAAGGGATAGAGACCTTACTCTATGGCTATTATTATAAGATACTTACCTATCTCCCCTCCCTACTCTAGAAATTTCCAAGAAAATAAGAGAACATGCTATTATGCCCTCATCTAATTCTTTTAGATGAATGAAACGAACCCTTACTACCCTCTCTTCAGTAAAGTACTGAACCTGAACATACCTCACCCCCTCACTCACTTAAAAACACTCATCTCCCTATCCCCTTACTCCTCAATCCCCATTCCCTCATTCCCCCTTCTCATCCCTCACTCATTCACTCATTTACTCACCCACAAAACCTCCTTTTCCCAGCAACGTTCGGCATCTGGAATTCCATTCCATTCCAAGACCCCCCTATGGAATATTCCGTTCCAAATAGTATAAGTGTTGGAATATTCCATTCCAAAGGGTAGAATATTTGGAATTCCAGTTGGAATTACTCACGTGACCCATAAAAAGGTAGTTCCGGTCCGAGCGACCACTAGAAAGCCTGACCTTACTTAGCCTTAGTACTATATTATCTATACTATTAATAATACAATAATAATATCACGATATATACAAGCTTGCTTAGTCACCCTCGATACGCAAAACATATCCTTTACGCTTCTTATACTAGCGGCACACGTACTTCCAGACTACTAGTATACGTACTCCGAACCTATATTCACCCTGCGCAAAAGAGCCTTAAATACATGTATTTACGCCTCCTACTGCACACGTACTCCTAGACTACCGGTAGTACAAATACTATAAAACCACTCGGATTTACCTTAGTTATATATAGGAGACGACGATAATTAATTATATGTAGGTAAAAATTATAATTTCAGTTCTTACTTTATAATAAATAGAGCTCTTTTATTAGTTAAATAGTAATATATATATCCTTTAGAATTCTAAATTCTAAGGCCGTATCCTTTGGAATCTATTCTAAATTAAAGGGCCTTTAGAATATTCTACCTTGGAATGGAATCTTGGAATCCTTGGAATTGTATTCCAAGTGTCGAACGCTGTTTCCCAGAAACATCCCTTCTAAAAGGCACCACACACAAAATCTCACCCAACCTCCAATACCCAAACACCTTCCTTCTCAATACAACCAGAACCACAAGTATAACCCCCACATCCACACACTAGCTGTCATAGAAATGACAAAAGAGATCGCAAAGGACTTGGTAGTAAGCGTGTGATCTGGTACCGACCTTCTCTCGTGAATGATAAAAATACAAAGATGTAATGCGAGCAGTCAGTTGTGTGTACTGAGTGTTGCTAAAGAAGAAAAACGTGTCTTGACTCTTGTTACTATAACCAAGACTCTTGCGGTGCATTTTTTCCGTTTATAAGTTAGAAAATAGTGCTAGCCAATTATTTGTACTCACGAGGTGAGAGACTAACTTGTAATACTATAACTGTCGAGTCGGAATCCTGAATCGTGGCACGCCACACCAGTCTAGATTTTACCATTAACCGGCAACAAGTATAGACACGCTTTAATGGAGGAATCCCAACGCTTCACAAAAGATCAAGTTACATTTGGATTCCCTATCTGCCGTTCTGGCTATGCTAGATGACCCGCTACCTATGCTATGACACACTCTCTCCCTCATCATCATCATCATCATCACCTCATTAATTTTCTTTTCCCCGTCTATCAGACATCTCGCTCTTTTTATAAACGCCAACCTACAGGGAACCCCCCAACCGTCAGCCGACAATCCCAGCGCTATGCACAAACTCAGAAGAAGAAGAGGAAAAAAAGCAAGAAGAAAAAATCAAGGAGGAATACAAAGATCAATCCAGCTCCCCAGATACTCCATCCGGTTCGCCTTTCCCTCCTTGACAAACTTCTTCACCGTCGCCTCAAACTCCGCGAAATCCAACTTTCCGTATCCCCCCTTTCGCTCCGCGTCTAGAGCGGTCTGTTCAGCGATCCAAAGGGAGTAAAGGATTTCATCGCTAGGTCTGCCATCATTGCTTGCTTTGCTTTCTGAGAATTTGGAAGATTTGCCGCTGGGTTTGGATGCGGGTTTAGATGTTGAACGCTTAGATTCTCGTTGTTGGTGTGATTGTTGGTCCTGAGGTGAGGTGAACTCTTCTCCATCGACTTCAGGTAGGTCTTCTGCGAAGCGAGAAAAGTATGGAGTGGGAACAGAAGATATTGAGTTTGGTCGGAATTGTGGCAATGTTGGGTCGTGGTATGAGGGCGAAGATGATCTTGATTCCTCATTTGATCCAGCGGGTGTACTTTGGGGTAAGGACGAAGTCATTGATTCTGCCTCTTCTTCGAGCATGAACGGATTACTACTAGCAGCCAAAACTTCAGCCGGAGTCGAGGCGTGACTTCCACTACGTGGACGTCGAGGATATGGAGACCCGGCCCTTCTCATCTCCACTCTTCCACTTGAACCATCTCGACCATCCTCATGGTCGTTTCTATCTGCGTACGAGATACCCCCGTCCCCATCTATCAGATTCTCTTCCTCGTCGACCCGAATAACCCCACTCTCACGTGGTCCTGGTGCAGCTGAAGTTTCATCCACTACCGAAAAACTAGCTTCATTCAACAACTCTTCAACTGGTAATTGTCGAATTTCATCCAGATCAACTTCAGGAAAACCGGCCCAGGCATGTGACCTTTCAGGTGGACTTTTTAATGGACTGTCTCGTTCCCTCTTTTCCCTCGCCTGCCTCTCACGCGCCCATGATTCAAAAGTAGGTGTAGTAAACAAGGGTCGGTAGATATCTCTGGCATCTTTGGACTTGACGGCTAATACAGCACTCTTCTCCTTCTCCTTGAACAATGGATCCAAGAGCTCATTGAATGATTGCTGCGTGACTTGATAAAGAATTTCTTTGCCTGCATCCTTCTCGGCGTCGGGAATATCCATACCTCCCCAACGTTCAGGAACACTTCGCGAAGAAGTAGAGGGATTGGATCTCGTATCAAAGTCATCCATGTCCTCCGCAAACCGTACCTTTGAAGATGATCGCGAATGCATGGATGGCCGAGGTTGGCTTTTTGAATTCTCACCAGTAGCATTGGCTAGGATATCATCCTCCTCTTTCCAGCCACGCGGGGGGGCTGCACCTTCCTCTTCATCAGTAAAAAACTGTCTCCGCTGCCATCTTTCAAATATCTCACGTTCGGCACGTTCTCGATAAACGGCATGAGTGATGACCATTCGCCTACTGCTTTCGAGAACGTCCACTAGGCGTGTTCCAGGACCATCAATTGCCTCTGCATCCTCATCTGTGGGTCTGGCATAGCTTGGTATCCACGAAAGATCGACGTTAGCATCGGCAGCCTCTTCCTCATCGGTTTCGGACAAACCATCAGGGTAGTTGAGGGCCGAATCATGAGAATGCCTGTCGGCTCTAATCTGACCATGAAGAACGTCTTCAGCCATCTCTCTGAATCTCCTCATGTTGCGAAAGACCCTGTTTGCTTGAACCTCGGTTTGCGGAGGGTCCATTATGGTTTCCCAGTAGCCTCCATCATTCCGATTGCGAGGTCTGTCGCCAATTCTTGTACTTTCTCGAAGTAGTTGATGATATCGACCAAGTGTCATGGTGTTTGTTTTGAATACAAGCTCTCGGGCTCCGGTATCTCCACTGTTCTCCTCAGTGACCCCTTTGCCGTCTGTGATTTCTAGATCTCCATTGGACAATGCGGTTTTTCCTTCACCAGTACGCGGATCAGGTGCACGGGGATATCTGCCATCCAGTCCAAAGGCACTACTCAAAGGCTGTCTGCTAGTTACAAGTCTATGTGCCTCTGTGCAGGCCATATGCTGCTCCTCCATTCCTTCGAGCATGTCCCGGTGCATCTGTCGGAAAAGGACATAGTATGAGCGGAACATCCGAAGAAAGTCCTTTCTTTCGACGAAGCCGTCGCCATCTATATCATAGCCTTCAAAAATTCTAGCCCATTTGTCTTTCTTCTTACGATATCCAATACCGTGCAAGAATTCCGGGAAGCCAATCAGGTCGTCTTTGTTAGTGTCATAAAAGGCAAACATCCTGTCAAAAATCAGACTGGGGCTTGTATGTCGATATCCACCAGAAGGAACTAAACAGCGCTCAAAGGTTTTCCGGTCCATTGCCAGGTTGATATCATATGGATCATCCCTCCAATCGGTGCTTGCCATAAATGTCCATTGCTCCCAGTATGCATCCAGTTCTGGTCGTTCAAATCCCGTTTCTCGAGCGAGCTTCGTCGTGATTTCTTTTGGAAGAGTTCTCATCACCGAGTCTGGGTCTCCTGCGTACCAAACTGGTTGGATATTCTTTGGCCCAAAAGAAGGACCCGGCACTCTGATCTTGTAGAAAATATGCGTCTTGATGTGCAAGCCTTGGGACTCGCAGCTTTCGCAAAGATCATAGTCGGCGCAATTCGAACATCGGTATCGTATGCCTCTTATTGGAACTGCACCGCAGCTATTGCAGGCGCATCCCCTGTGAACATAGGCATTCCTTCGCGTGGCATCTTCGGAGACTCGAAAAAGAAGTTGTACAATGTTTTGCCCGCTGCGAGTGTAGGTGGCCCGAGGTTCATTATAGCGATAGGGATCGTCGTCGAAAGCATCATCTACCACCGTCTCACCATCCGTCAGGGTGACCGGAGCTATTGCACGCCCATCTCCAGAATTTTCTATATCCTCATCCACGAAAAGAGCGTTTGGGTCATCGGTGTTCTGCGTGTCTCGTCTTCGCCGTCGATGGACCGCGTTACTTCGGTGCAAGGCGGAGCCTGGGCGAGCTTCGTTCTCGATGACGAAGCCTGCTGGATTTCGACTGCTGTAGACATAATATGTGCCGTATATTGCGGCGATACTGGTCAGAACGATGACGGCGGCTCTGCCGTGGGAAAGGTTGCTCGAGGCTGTGCGCGATGAGGCTGACATGATTGAACTTGTGGGTTGAGGGCTATTGTGATAGCTCAGTAATTTGGCTCATTATTCCGCCATCCAGAGCCAGTGCTAGACAGGCAGGCGGAAGGCTTGCAATGTCTGGTGACAGCGTCAGTGAGGTTGGGACAGTGGTAGTGGTGTTGTGTAGACAAATCAAGAGCTTACGGCGAATCACAAGCTTGGACCTGCAGTACAGTGAAAGTGTGTGCTCAGACTGGTGGAGTGCACCTGGGCACTATAACAGTTCGCTAGCGCACCTCCACACTTTTGCTAACTCTACCTTCATAGGTAGGTATAACTTCTAATTTAGGAGTGTACACTTACCTGGGATACCCTCAGGTGTAGGTACACGCTAAGTGAAATACTGATTGGCTTTCACTAAATATTGCAGTAATTACTATAATTTTCGCCTTCTATCCCACACACACATATAACGTCTCTTGAAAGGGTTTTATAATTTATATATAGAGATACACTTATGTCGACACAATGCAATCATTTCTCCTTCACCTTCGTTACGCTCAAAACCTCAAAACCTAATACTCCACGAAGACACAAAATTTTCCTCAGATATCACCGATCCACGATGACTGGCGAGAGCCAAACAGGCTCCAAGAAAATCATATAAAAATATAGTCTTGCTATCAAAGAAATCAGTCAACTGAACAGAACCACATTACAGCGAAGGCGGTGAGGGAAGTACGAACCAGAGAGTCTATTAGATTTTCGTAGGAAAGGGTCTACTAGTAGTAGGGGTTGGCAGTGGTTCGCATACGCAGTGAGCCTTCCCATTTATACACTCAGCAGTCTTTACTTTCTGTTTAATATATAGTGAGTAATGAGATCAACTACCCACACAATAGGAGAGGAGTTTACTAACCCGAGATCCACACCCTACTTCGCATGAAAGCTTAACGTTTGTGCAGTCTCCCTGCGCTGCTGCGAAGGAGGCAAAGGCCAGAGTAAAGAGAATCGTGATGAATTTCATTGTCAGAGTTGCTTTTTGGGTGTTTTGAAAGTAAGAATTTATTTGGCTTGGAAGTGTTTGTGTAATTGGTTTGGAAATGGAAGGCCAGAGGAATTCCTGCCGATTCTCTTATAGACGACCCAAACCCCATGCCGCCTACATGGTAAAAGAAGGTTCTCATGTAGTAACAACACTTGTTTCATCTGTCGTTATCCAAGACATCTAGTGAACAGTTAGAGTCTTATTGCCTCCTCCCAAGCCTAAGAAACGTAAGGTTTAAGTGGGGATTTTACCCTGTTTTCCACTTGCGTGCCCACTAAATTTCAACGTTGACTTCGAAGTAGGTTTAACTCCCTTGCGCTATGTATTTAACCTTGTATATAACGCATGATTACTTCGAACTACTTGTATATTCTATACAGCATATAGCAAGCAGCCTCTCCTAGGACCCTTCGAGTGAAGAGTAAGTATTTATTAGCGGAAGTGGAAGAAGGGATAAGGATAGCTATATTACGAAGGGAAAAGGCGCTAGTTAACGTAAAGAGGGCGGACAGCTCAGAGGGCCTACCCCAAATTCAGAACCGATACAAGTGGATAAGTAGTTTTAATTTTGTGCAATTTTTGTGCTACTCACTACGAAGTAAGTGGTTTCAAGCATTTTGTGAGGAAAAATTGGCAAAACTTGGTTAAAATAACATAAAACAAGCGACAGTATCTCCGTATTTGCTCCACTAATATTAGTTTCGAAATTGGAGTAAATTCTCCGAGCTGCCAGCCCTCTTTCTAATGAACTTTAAAGACAAATGCCGCCGTCGGCACTTCGTGGCATATGAATGTTTTATCCCAGCGTTCCTAGGGAGACCCACTACGTTCACTACGTGAAGTTCCCAAGCATTTTGAGATCGCTCAGCAGACATGATGGCTTAGAATATAAGTGGTTAAAAGTAAGTGTTCAGCACCTTGTGCTAGAATCAGTGTAGGGAATAGTGCAAACTACGCAGTTTTCAGTGCAGTTTGAAAACCCAAAAACTAACCACAGTTTTGGTGTTGTTTGTCAAACTGTAGTACAAAAAGTTGAGAACTCATTGCAGTGCACTACGATAGTGCTATAAAACTGAGGATATTCTTAATATGAAGTATAATCACGTGGAAATTCACGTGTTTTGTTAGGAGACTTAATCAAATGTTATAACGTACTTCATAAGGAGTCCGGATTTATAAGCAGTCCGGATTTTTTACCCCACCATCCAACTTTTAAAAACCATAGAACTTTAATCACTTAATATTTATTTATATAAACTATACTATCTTTCTTATTCTCGATCTGGGCACCTAGGAGCAGTATGCGCTAGTGATCTACATATACTACAGGTTCGTGGTGCACGAATTCGTGGTTCAATTAGCGGGGCCACAGCTTCATCCAAAACCATATTATCACTATTTTGAATAAGTTCCCT